TTGAGTTGATCGCCACCCTGGTATAAGTAGTTGGTAGTCGGATAATATAGGGTTAAGTCTATATAATATAAGGCTTTACAAGCTTTACATTATTGGAGCCAATCCGGGGCCTATTCCCCTAGGATTTCCTTGGGGTCGGCATCCTCGACGTAGTCGGAATAAGCATTCGCTCCGCTATCGGCCTTGACTCCGTGGACAACTGACACAAGAATAATCGAGTTGCCGAGTTCCTTGGCCTTCTCCGCCGTCAACTCCCGGCCCTCCAATTGTCTAGTATCAATCTGGACCCCTCTCTTCTTATGTCCTGCGATAACCCAATAAGCAGTAGGCGGGAGGTCTATATCAGCAACCTGGGCGCATTAGTCTGGGCTGCTAGTCTTCTGCTAGCTTTTTATTATGGCTTACATTTGCCTCTCCGGCACTGCGTGGATTCATGGCTGGTACGGCACTGGCAGTGGCAGTAAGCATTGCGGCCGTAAGAGCGAAGGCAAAGGACTTTATATTGGATGAGTTTTAGGTCGTTGAAGGTTCTTATGCTGGAAAGTAAAGTTTATGAGAATACAAAGTTCCTGCATGGAATTCTCAAGAGCAAGAAGGCGGGTTAGACAATTATATATATACCCAAGGATTATCACCTTTGTCCTCAAGATTCTGCAGGTTGCTTTACTGATTGCACAAAGATGCGTAGTTTTGCACAGAAAGATGCGAGCTTTGATGAGACGCTATAACGGGGAAGAAAGGCTTACGGTGCCACGCCTGAAAACGGCATACGCAAGCTTAGTCTAAACAACATCACACGTAATACACTTATTACTAAACCAACAAAGAGCAATTCATTACTAATAGCTTCCTGTAAAAGAAAAGCAGTAAAAGAAGGAAACGACTAATAACCCTTTTCACATCATATCATCACTTTACTCATGGTGGAGGGACACAAGCTTCAATAACTCCAGCAGGACTCAAGGTACAAGGCATCAGAGAGGTTTCATCAAAGTGCCACCACCGGTCCAAATTTACTTCGTCACTCTATTCAACTTAGTATTTCTTTTACCATAATATGCAATAGAACAATCGCCATGAAGAGGTCGCATGGGGAAAATGGAGAAACGCGTGGTTTCCTCGAGGAGAACAACGGCCATCCCCAATCCATTCCTAAAACAAACGCACCACGTCGCGCCTTCTGGCACCTCATCTTCTCTTACATGTTGAATATTGTCCTGGCAGCCATCCTTCTGTGGTTTTTGACCAAACCGTGGGATCCTTCACAAGGCATCTACTCCCCTGCGAATGCCGTGATTGAATATGAGACCAAAGTATTTGCCCCAGGCGTCGGACCGAGCCACTCCCCATATCAAGGCTACCCGGACGATGACATGGACGACGCTTGGGACGACTTATACCAATGCAAGTACAAACCACAACATGGCAAGATTTGACACGTGTTCTGAGACTTGTGCCTTTGACAGATGGCGTCAGCCTGCATGTGCCCGAACATGAGGCACGTCGCCTACCAAATTATACAGTAGGAATTCCCGGCAAGGATGGAGAATACATTATCGGCCTTGACGTCTTTCACCAGCTGCACTGCTTGAACATGTTTCGCAAGCTCATGTATCCCGAAAGATACGGCATGGTAACAGTGTTTGCTAATGGCACGAGAGACGAAGAAACGACTCTCCATTTTGGTAAGATGCACTACCAAGAGACAAAGCATACACCATGACTAATTAGCCAACTGGCCACTGTCTTGAACATCTAAGACAGGCGGCAATGTGCCATGCCGATGTTTCCACTTTATACTACCGCTGGGACGAGCAAGACCAAATGTCAAAGATGTCCATGTACATCACCCATACGTGTCGCAACTTGGCGAAGATTAAGGAATGGGAATTTGACAGATACCTTGATAAATTCGATAGATACACCCGAGTAGAATGAATTGTCCAAATTGCTCCTCCTGTCTCTTGTGAGCACAGTAATTTCCACTTTAAACTAAAGTCGCAGGGCTTGGTGTTATTGCTGGATGTCATGGCGTCGGCTATCATGGTTAGAATTGACTCGAAGTTAAATTTAAATATAAGAAGGTTGTTAGGTATTTAAAAGACGATTATAAATAGAGTTCACAGCATAGAGAGTAAGAAGAAATATGATTTCATTGAGAATCTTGGTGATGATAGGTCTCATGACGCGACGGGTACCAAAAAAACGATCAATGTGGCAGTACTAAAAAGAAGGCCAGCAAATAGAAAAGGAAGACCGATCCAGGCCCTACCCAAATTCAAACCAACGCGGAAGAGCATCGCCATTATTGGCCCTGCAATAAGCCCCCCTAATCCCTCCGAGACAGATATTGCGGTGAACATCAACCCCGTCTTGTCGTCCTTTGCATAGCTAGCAATGAGGCTGCGAAGAATCAAGTTGTAGCCTATTCCCACCGTAAAAATGACCAAGCTCGATAAAAATGTCTCCAATGTAGGTGCCAAGCCCAGGCAAAAGGCTCCCAACAGAAGAAACGTGGCACTTGCCCTGGCCATCCACAGGTCTTTATGGACAGGGCTAAGGGATAGTTTCCTCAAAAGCAGTTGACTTGTCAAGGGGAGTATTGTTGTTGTCACTGCAAGAGCCGCCACACCCTTGATAGACAAGAGTAGGCTCGCACGAGCCCAAGACAGACCGAAACGCTTCGTCATGTACTGCTGCAACAGTGTGACGACGTCTTGGCCGAGGGTGCCGAACGCGACACCCACAAGCAGTAGCGTAGAATGCGCGTTATTGGAAACGAAATTCGTTGCAGCCATGATGCAAGTTGCCGTGGCATTGGGCAGCTTGGAGAGCAAGTCGAAGAATCCACTGCCCGTCTGCTGTTGATGCGATTCTGGCTGACGGCCGGTTGATTTATGTTTACGCAGTGTATTGGCGTCGCGACTCTCCGGTAACAGAAATGCCAAAATGTTGGCGAGGCATAGTCCTGCCAAGCCGGTGAAGACGCAAAACCAGTCGCCACGCTTCATGAGGAGGTACGTCAAAGGACCGGATATCAGTTCAACAACTGTCATGGAGGCACCGAGGTAGAAGAAGGCAGTGGTTCTGTTTTTTCCATGAGTCATTGTAGTATTCGTAGGGGACAGGATCGGCCAACCTTTGATCAGCGGTAAATACATCACCGACCATGGTGAAGATCATGGCATTGATGACCATGGGTCCGCCACCAACAAAGGTAGCGAGGCCCGCCAGACATATCAAACGAATTGGTATGGTGTCTGAGAACCAGCCTGTGGACTAGGATTTAGCAATACGTGATTGCGAATGATATTGCGCCATGACCTACATGTGGCAATCTCAAGAATCTGCGCAACAACGAGGCCCGAAATAGCCAAACAAAGCACGAGTCTGCGGCCGTGCTTGTCAGCCATAGCTCCGTATGGCATGGCCGTCACTAGACCGGGGACCAGGGCAAAGGGCGTAACCCAGCCTTGAAGTTGGGCAAACTCTGATTGCACGTCTGCGCCTTTGCAGACGGGGTGGTTGAATGTGCCATCAACGTCCGGGTGCAAGGAACGACAGATGATGCCTTCCATAATTTCCAGCATTGGAGTCGACGATATGGACATTGTAAGAACCACAAGCAACAGCACAGTGGTGCATCGGCCAGCAATCATGAGCCGCTGCCTCAAAGTGCGTTCCACACCCGACGAAGCTTCGTCGTGATGGTGTCGCAGGAGACTAGTCTCCTCGGTATCATGCGCATCGTGGGCCATGTTCACTAGCACTGGCTGTCAGTCTCGTGCTTGGGGGGGTTGAGAGGATGGAAATATTTCTTGTCGGGTCTGGTGCCGCCAAAACGGCTTCCCTATGTAAGCACGGCTCACGACAGGGCTACAAAGCTGGGCGCTTTGAGTCTGCATAAGCCAACGCAAACGGCGGGTGGCTCATACTCGGGCAATGGCACTCGGATACTGGTGCCGACCTACATGGATACATGTATGTACCAGCATGTATGTTAGCTGCTTGTTGACGCTTTATTGGGGGCACTCCGTGGGCGTGGCCGGTGGCGAGAGGGTAGCTGACATGAGACATCTGGACCTGGGGAAAACGCAGATATTACTACATGTAAGGAATATACGCCACCCCAGTCTACGCGTGTGGGAGACGCATTTTGCCTGGAAAAGCAGCTTACCATAATACGATGCTCTCGGTCTGGAACCCTGCAGGTCTTAATAACAGAGGACTGAGTGCCATCCAGGATACATGCGGCTGAATCCGTAAATTTTGCAAAGAGAATAAGCTGTCAACCTTCTAATAACCCAGACAGACCAGCGTCGTCCAATACAGATTCTCTTCCAATGCATTTCAGTCTGGACTTTTTTTTCCCACACGACGGCTACAAGATGCCTTCCAACAGAACCCCCGAGGCCAAATATGACCACCTATCAGATTCCAAAAGCGATGATGTGTCTAGCTTTCTTAAACTGCGTTCCACCAGCCACCACTGGGGTCAAAGCCGGGGGTTGGTTGTTGGCCTTTGTGGAATAATTGCTACCCTGCTCACCGCATTGTTCGTCATGGTGTGGCAGCACATGGCCAGCCCAAGCCAGCTGCAGTGCGCAAAGCTCAATTCCCCATTTTGTCAGTCATTTGCTTCCCAGAAGGTGGTTACGTTCTTTATCCTGAGCATTGTGACTGACTTGGGGGCAGCACCCGCGTGGGACGGAGTTGAATTTTGGGAAGGCGACTATGAGAACGAATTTCCGCATGAAACACTCTACCGAGGGCCGCCGACGCCAGAACGGGAAAAGGCCTGGGAGGATCTCTGGTTACGTGAGAGACGGCGTTCCCGACAAGGCGGCAAAAGACGTGCAGCTAACTTGCATCAGACACACCGGTCACAGTCCCAGAACGTGGCATTGCGGCTCTTAATCAAACCGGTAAACCGTGGTTGAAGAGCGATGACGGCAAAGGATACACAGCTTTGCTCGAGGTGTTCCACCAGTTGCACTGCTTGGTAAGAATGTCGCGCATGAGGAGTGTCTTGTACTAAATGTGATGCGCAGAACGTTGTGCGCCAATTCACCTGGCGACACCTGTACTCGGAAGAAGATATGCCCGTCGATATTGCTTAGCCCGTTGCCGGCCGGATGCATGTTGATTACTGCATCGAAACACTCCGTCTGTCACTTATGTGTTATGCCGATATCACGCCGTTGATGGTTTACGTGGATACAAATGCGCCCATCGGCCATCGTGCCGATTTCAACGTTCATCACAACCACGCATGAGTGTTGCTATCGCTGCCGAAGCGACGTGGCTCCGTCGTGCCTCAAGCCAGGCAGCAGCTTAGGGTTGGATCCGATGGGATGGCTTTATCGGTAAACCCGGCCAAATTAAACCCGCCTCCAGCGCGGGCAGGCATCGTGCATCTATAAACCAGGGGTATTATTCCCCGAGTCAGATTCAGCTTACTGCCCTTTGTGGGGGATCGGCCACAAGGCCACTAATTACAGGCGTGAGTTACGAGAGTCTGCTGGTTGGCGCCCCGTAAACATGACAGCTTTGTGCCCGGCCAACAAGCATTATGTAGCTCGACCGAGTTGGAGGACCAGGCTGTGCAAGCACAAAGCGTCAAATCGACCTGGTACTTATCGACAGTTGAAACCCCACTTCCCCGGTACGGAAATGGCCGGCGTGCCAAATCTCGGGTCAGGCCGCATTTATGGGTCCCAGGCCCATCATGTGACATCCGGACGGCCCGGCTCCTGTACCCGTCCCCCGAGCCTCGGTCAAACCTAACACCCTCACGCTGACACCGGAATAAAGGTAACGATTTAAGAGAGTAGCCTAGTAGCTAATAACCTGGTATAGATCCTAATGGTAATTTTACACGACACAGCCTCCAGCAAGCGCGATCTCCTTTTACGGGGCAGGGCCGAGCAGGAGGATAAGGCTGGTTCGGCTGTAAGACAGGTCTGCAAGAGGACAAGGATAATCGCACCACGGCCCAGAGGTTGGCGATTGCGGTTCCATGCTTGCTGCAGCAGTTGACGTGTCACATCAAATGCCTTGAGGCCACACACATGCACGCCCACCCCCACATGCAGCGCTTGTTATGTAAGGCGACAGTCGCCAGTCACGCCAGACTTGATCCTGCCGCGGTTCCTTCCCATTGGCTGCGTCTGCATCATTCAAATTGTATTTACAGCGTGAGTTCTGGGGCTTAGCTTGCTAGAATGAATCTTCTGCGCCGACGTGCCTGGCCATCGAAGCTGGCCTCTTGGTTCAAACTAACTTGAATCGTCATAGCTACTCTGGCGTGCTCTTGGGCACGCGTCGCAGCTATGGAGTCGTCAGTAAATCGGTTTTCAGAGAGAAATCCACCAGCGTATTTACCACCACATGTTGGTGATATCAGCGCCCGTGATAATTGGACCTCTTTCAAACACCGGACCCTGAAGAAGCAGTTCCTACTACCTCGGATGGTACCTTATCTCTGAGTGGCGGGTACGACAATCACGAACTCTGCGGAACCAGGAGTGCTAGACATGTCCAATTCACAGACTTCCGAGAATTGTGATGGGAGCTATGACACAGACGTAGCCGACGAAGAAAATTGCTCTTCGCAGGTCTTGGGCGGCGGAATTGACGAAATGGCGGCCCAACCCATCTTGTCCAGCTTAATGGGCGAATATGACAGTAGTCGCGCATCGTACTTGGATACCGCATTCAGCTCCTGGCACACCAGCACCCTCACCGGCCCAGCAGAACAGGTTGCGTGGACTGACGACGTACGGTCGGCCGAGCAGCAAGATGATCAATTCCGCATGTTGATACCGCATGATGACGGCAACCCAAGGCCGGGATGCCACGATGAACCGCGACGCCTCACCTCCAATCCGGCAGGCATGGATATGGTAGAGCGCGTCGCCTGCATTCCAAGATATCTGGGAACCATGGGTTTCGACAACTTTGATGAGCTTCTGTGCACATACTACCCTTAAAATTTCCACGAATCATCGTTTCTCTGCAATGAGCAACGCCTAAGTCGCCACAGGAGATTGCCCGGCGTCTTCTCCAGCGTGTTCTGTGCCTCGGGGAACTGGAGTATTTGGGAACGCAGGGGATTCCAAGAGGAAGTTTCAAAAGCCACCGAAGAAGTGCTACTATCCGAGAGTTGGGAAGCGCAGAGCGACATTCACCCTGCGGTTACCCATATGTTAAAGGCGCCAAAGAGCAACCTGCCGTGCGTGGCCTCAAGAGTCTCGCCGTTAAAGTCCTGCATTACAAACAAGGTTCGTCGCCCAGAATGTCATGTTTATCAAAATCACAGACGAATCATCTCTTTTATTACAAATGAAGCAGAACTGACAGAAACAAGTTGCCCCATCTCTGGACATTGATGATGACTTTGGCGACATCCGTTAAACCGGCGGGCCACAGAGATGCCTCGGGCGCTGTATTTGCAGCCATTCTTCTTCTTCAGTACGGCGGGCGCATGGGGAGGAAAATGCTTCTTGAATTGGTTGGCCTCTGTTTATGAAACCTTATCCAGCCTTGGATCCTTTAGACATCACGCTGGCAATGAAGCCCATTCCATAGTTTAGGATTAAACGATCAACATGCCTTGACAAGTTCCTCTGCATATGACCGTTTTATAAAGACAGTTTTTCATTTATTACATTTGTAATCTAGCTGATGATGCTACGCCAAGATGGAAAAGAGATGAATAATCGTCTTGAATTCGGAGCAGTTTCGTGGCATCGAGCAATGCGAGAAGATGGCCCAGCCTCATGCAGAGCAGAAATGTTCCTTGCTTAGTCTCTCAGCCATGCAGTAACTCTGCATCAGTGCCTTAGTAAGACCACGTAGGCAACGTGCACCTTAATGGGGTATATAATCCGGCATGACTGCTCGGGCTTCTACAAACTTGAGACCACTCGGCCTCCTCTCTCCTCCTCAGCACAGAAGCTCATAAGACTTGGTCAAGATGGCTGCCGGCGATGATAGTTTCGGCCCTCACTTGCCTGGATACTTTGATTTCACTCTGCTTTTTGAGCAGAGCCTTTTATCCCTTGTTCCGACCGGCATTTTCCTCCTTGCCTGGTCATGGCGTATCCGTCGCCTTTGGCGCCGGAAAAACATTGTTGGCTCATGCGAATTACGGATTGCCAAATTGGTGCGCGCCGCCTCATCTTACAGGTGGCACATGTGCAATCCTGGTCTAACTCGTGTCTCAGGTCCTCTGTGGTTGTTTCACGGCGCTACAGATTGTCATCCTCGCGATCTGGTGCCTGCCCAGCACCGTCAGGGCCAGCACATCGATTGCCGAAGCCGTGTTTGGCGTTATTGCCGGCTTCTCTGTCACGGGCCTGTCGTATCTGGAGCACGCGCGGTCGGTTCGGCCGTCGTTGCTGCTCAACTTTTACCTGCTCATCACCGCCATCCTTGACCTAGCCAAGGTCCGGACCGCTTTCCTCAGGCCGGGCAAGCACACCTTGGCCAGTCTCCTAGTTGCAGCCCTAGTCATAAAGGTCATGCTTTTTGTGGTCGAAGAAGTCCCCAAGAAACCTATTTACTCGGAAAAGCCGGTACCTAGGGAGAGCAGCGCTGGAGTGGTGAGCCGCAGCGTTTTTTGGTGGTTAAACAGATTTCTCAGAACGGGATACAAGACCACCCTAGATGTTGACGATATTGGCATTATAGACGAAAAATTCGATTCGCAGAGACTGTTGCTACAGTTGGAGGAGGCTTGGGATAAAGGTCAATGCTATCCGAGCCAAGATACGCGTCCGACTGGGTTGCTAATTCGTATTTGAAACCCGCAGACAGCAAGCAAGGAAAATTCAGCTTGATCAAGTGCACGTTTCTGGCCTTTAAGGGGCAGTTCGCTGCTGGAATCGCACCGCGCATTCTGTTTAGCGGCTTCACGTTTGCGCAGCCGTTTCTGATTAACACGGTTGTCGATTTTGTCGGCCAGCCAGACGAAACAAGGAATATGGCCTCAGCCAAGAGTCTCATCGCAGCGACCTTGTTGCTCTATGTCGGCCGTGCAGTCGCCGGGGCGTGGTATAAACATACGACCTTCCAGCTCTTGACCATGTATCGCGGTGCTCTTATTTCGCTGGTCTTTAAGAAGACGCTAGAGCTGGACCAGCAATCAGTTTGCGAGTCGGCCCCGGTTACTCTTATGAGCACCGATGTCGAGGGCATTGCTACTGGTGCAATGACCATTCACGATATTTGGGCCAGCTTGATAGAGCTCCCCGTTGCGCTTTACCTCCTCTACCGGCATGTCGGAGTCCCCAGCTTGTTTATTCTGATTCCTGCTACTGGTAAGCTTCCACAGACCTGAAAGCACCCGATGACGGCTAACCTGTCAGTTACTACGATTTCTGGTGCGATGATATCACCGCACATGGGCCCTGCTAGAATGCAATGGAACAAGACCATACAGGAACGTGTTGGGGAAACGTCCAGGATGCTCAGTCAGATAAAGGGCGTCAAGATGATGGGCCTAAGCAATTGGTTTCATAATCGCCTGCTCCAACTTCGTGCAGACGAACTAGAATTATCGACAAGGTTTCGATGGCTTCTCGTTTACATCAACGGGTTTGGTGAGGCATGCTTTGCAGAGCATAGTCCCAGTACGAATGCTAACCGAAATTTTTAGCTGCTGCATCGCAGGCATTCACACCAGCGGTTGTGATTCTCGCCGCTATCTTCTGGACCAAGTCGCGGCAGGGGTTGAGCGTTGCTGCAGCCTTCACTTCGCTGTCTATTATTACCATCGCAGCTACGCCCATAATTCAAATTCTAGTCTCTCTGATGCAGATATTCGGCGTGATTGGGTGTTTCACCCGTCTTCAGGTATTTCTGAAGTCTGAGTCGAGAAGGGACCCGCGACAATGGATTTCGTCCACCGCTTCTACCAATTCGTTGGCACTACCAGAGAGCCTCGGTCTTTCACCAGAAAAATCCCTCATGGCTACCAAAGACGCTCTCAAACTTGTTGCACTGCCATCTAACAAGACTGTTCGCCGAAGCGGCCCGATGTTGAGGCTCGTAGATGCCACATTCTCTGTGGATGACGGCACAGAGGTACTTGACAGTATTGACATGACCATTGAGCAAGGCACCTTTTCAATGGTAGTCGGACGCGTGGGATGTGGCAAATCATGCCTACTGAAAGCAATGGCCGGTGAAGTTCCGTTGAAGTCCGGGACAATTGAGACTAGGCAACGCAGCCTGGCGTATTGCGACCAAACACCTTGGGTCACAAACGTCAGCGTAAAGGATAACATTATCGCGCAGTCAGAATACGACCAGCAGTGGCTTGCAACTGTACTCCACGCATGCCAATTAGACGTGGATGTGTCTGCGTTCCCCATGGGAGTGGCGACCATCGTGGGATCAGGAGGCGTTGCACTGAGCGGCGGTCAGAAGCAGCGCGTGGTAAGTAACGAATCCGTTGCTATACAAGTAGCATGGTACACTAAGCCATGAGTACACGCAGGCCATGGCGAGAGCAGTATACTCGCGCAAAACGTTTGTAATTCTCGACGACGTCTTCAGCGGCCTGGACAACAAGACGTCACGCGCCGTCTTCCAAAGGCTGCTTGGAAGTGGCGGCCTGCTACGTAATGACAGGCAGACAGTAGTTCTTGCTACTAATAACGGTGAGAAAAAATATAGCGTAGGTTTCGCCATTTGTCTAACTCACCCACAGTCAGCTTCCTTGAGGCGGCAGATTACATCACCATGTTGGAGCAAGGTAAGATTGTCCGCAACCAGGTGCAGTATTCGGCCTTTGATCAACAGGACTGGGGTATCAACCAAGACGAGACCGAGTCGAATGACTCCTCATTTGAGGTTGACGGAAATGAATCCAGTCGTCATGCAAAACGACGAGAGGCGGACCGAGCCCAGGCTACGAGACAGGCCGAGGCCGAGCTCAGCCGCCAAACAGGCGATATTGACTGTTACAAAATCTACCTCAAGTCGATGGGACTGCCGGTTGTCACTGCTACTTTGATCCTCGTCATTATCAGCGTGGCTGCGGATAAGATGCCCCGTAAGTTCCGCCCCAGACTCGATTGTGAATTCGGCTGACTCTATTTCAGAAATATGGCTGCGCCTATGGACACAACATGGCACTACCTCTACCTCTGATAATCTAAGCTACATGGGAGGCTACGTCGCGTTTATTGTCCTAGCCATGATTGGCGGAGTGGTCAACATAGCCTTCTTCGCCATTATTGGCATTCCCAAGTCTGCGAAGCGCCTTCATGCCATGTTACTGGCCGCCGTGATTCAAGCCCCCTTTCACTTTTTCACTTGTACGGATAACGGGTTGACTCTCAACAGATTCAGCCAGGACATGAGTCTGCTTGATCAAGCCTTGCCCTTTGCATTTATTGCGACCGTTGCGGCCGTGGTTCAAGCCATTGCCGAGACGGCAATCATTGCTTCTGGATCATCGTACATTGGCGCAATCTTGCCCGTTTGCTTTGTAGCTGTTTACTTGATCCAACACTACTACCTCAAAACATCTCGCCAAGTTCGAATCTTGGACCTGGAGATGAAGTCGCCGTTATACACGCATTTTACGGAGACTCTGGCCGGACTCTCCACCATTCGCGCATTTGGATGGACTATGGCGGCAAAGGAAGAAAACCTTTGCAGACTAAATACGTCCCAAAGACCTTACTATACCATGTTTTGCATCCAGCGGTGGCTCCAAGTCATCTTGGATTTATTTACTGCCGGTATGGCGCTCGTGCTTGTTACATTCGCAGTCATGTTTCCATGGACAACCTCGAACGGTGCCATCGGCTTGGCCATGGTAAACATAATCAGCTTTGAATTTACGCTTTCCATGGTTATTACCCAGTGGACGCAGCTGGAAACTTCACTTGGCGCCATTACCCGGCTAAAGTGGTTTATAAAGAACACGCCCAGTGAGAACAAGCGGCAAGAGAATCAGGAGCCGCCTCCCGGTTGGCCGTCACGGGGTCTAATTGAACTTGATAATGTGACTGCTGCTTACAAGTGAGTATTTCTCTTCACTTCTTCCTCGCTTCCCGTGTTAACAAGTACCGCCCCAGAGACGGTGCCGATCCGGTTCTGCTCGGCGTCAGTCTTACTATTGAGCCAGGACAAAAAGTCGGAATCTGCGGCCGATCTGGAAGGTTTGTCATTCATGCCAAGACAGCATCTGTTTACTGAAACTAAGCCTACCATCCTCTCCGTGCAGCGGCAAGTCATCTCTCGTGGCCACGCTGGCCCGCCTTCTCGAATTGCAGCCCGGAAGCACGATTCGCATTGACGGCGTCAATCTTGCCACTGTACCAAGACAAACGATCCGGTCACGTCTCCTTTCGCTCCCGCAGGATGCGCTGCGCCTGGCAGGAACCGTCCGCCACAACCTCGACCCGGAGCAATCTATCCAAGCTGACGAAGCGCTTATAGAGGCCCTCACAAAGACGGCAATCTGGCCCTATATTGAAGCCAAGGGTGGTCTCGAGGCCAAAGTAGAAGATTTAAGATTCTCCGCTGGACAACTGCAGCTATTCTTCCTCGCTAGAGTAGTCTTGCGACACGGCAGAGCTGCAGGCGCTGGTGCAGTTATTCTCCTTGATGAAGCAACAAGCAGCGTGGACCGCCGCACCGACGACCAGGTTCGCGATGCTATTAGTGCCAACCTGGATGGGCGCACCGTGATAGAGGTTGCGCATCGTCTTGACATTATACGTCACTATGATGTTATTGTTGTCATGGCTGAGGGGAGAGTTGTCGAGACCGGTCCTCCTGATGAGCTCCTTGCACAGTCTGGGTCTGAATTCGCGGCGCTGTGGGCAAGTAGAGGTCTGTAAGATTTTATAGCGTTGTATAAATGAAGAGGCAAGTTTGATGGCGTATTATGGGCGATAGTAATATACAGCTTCACTTTGATGATGCCAAGTAGTTTATAAGCTTGTAGTAGGAATAACAGGTTTTAGAATGGCAGATTTCAAGTGTTTGCATGTGAGGGTTTTAGGATAAAATACACGGGAAAGAATACCTATGTATACATTAATGCAGAAGGACTCGCTATCTTACCTCCACCAGGCGAATCATCTTGTGATGAAGCCAACTATCACCGTCGGCTCCCCGTGCCCGCCCTGTCACGAACGCCATCGTCAAATCTGGACCTGGCATGTCACCTTGGAGAGAGACTGCGCCAACCTTCCCAAGATTGACTGTGGCGGCGACGTCCCCAGTGTGTATGGATCGACTTGCTATAATGACAGTTTCAAAACTCGATGGTGTGGCCAGCTTGTCTCCTACTCCCGGGGCGAATCGCGGCTTCGAGAGGTCCAAGAGAGTCCATGCCGAGTCACCACGCCGGTGTTTGAGAACGGGGAAATCACGGCAGAGACTAGGTTTATCGAGAGGACAAAGCGTCCAACCGTCATACACTAGGAGTCTCATGATATCGCCGAATTAGACATTAAACAAAAATAGAGCGTGAGCACTCGCCGGCTCTTTACAAGCGAGCAGGTTGAGGTAGCCAGGCCAAATATATCAGAGCCTTTAATCACTAATGGCATGGCTGCCATTCGACCCCATGCACCAGAAGGCGAAGCTGCGGCAAGTACTATTCGGAGCAAACCTGATAATCTGAGAGTGAAACGACATTATACATCGTATACAGCATTTACCCAAGAACACAAGTCGAATGGCCCCCCTTCTCTCATGTCAAGATAAGATGGATATATCAAGCCCCGCAGGTTCGCTATCCTTACGTGGTATTGCATTCAAAATGAGTTGCAAGAGGTTCAGATGCCCAGGCTCTATACAAGGGGGCCCAACCCAGCATGCTAGCTGCGAGTAGTTTCCACACATGTCCTATTTAACAGGCTCCGGGAAGTAATAGACGGAATAGATAAAGCACTAGTATATAGGTTTACTGCTGCACAACGTGACATCATTACACCTTCCATCGCTTTCCGCTTCAGTACGTTTCCACTGGATAATATCTGCTGCTATATATCCCTGCCCCCAACCCTTGGCATTTTTCTCGGGCGACAGGTGGCTATTAAGTCGAGTATCCTATTATTATGTCAAAGTAGATACTTATAATTGGCTATAAACCGCATGCCATTGTGGAATCATGGCAGGTCTTGCGCGCCGTGAGTCAGTAGCATATCCCCGTACGCGAATGCGATAATCGTCAAAGTCATGATACATCAAAGTCGGAAGGTATATATAACACTAAGATTTGCTACCCTTGTTAAGATATCCAGACTCCAAGTGTCTTGCCGCATAGCATCTTGACCTATACCAACTTCGCGATGATGCTCGCACCATGAGTTGTTAAGGTCCCATCGTGTGCTCTTGCGCTCTTATACCCAAGCACTTGTGTCGCTGCTCCCGCCGGCCATGGCAAGAGAGTCAAGCTTCCGCCCAAGCCCAACACTGCTTCGGGCAGGCTTTTTCTCCGAGGGGCCCCCATCTCGCCGCCTCCTAGGCCACCTCGTCCCGGGACAGCGGGAGCATCTTGCCCGGGCCTCGGCCATACCACGCCTGTCCCTGGCAAAAGTCAAACTCCGCGTCCGGGCAGCGGCCACACGAACCTGCTCCTGGCAGACGCCCTGTCCCGCCTCCTCCCGGCACACGTTATACTACGCCTCCGCCGGTGCTTGGAATCCGCCAGACGCGGTATGCATAGAGGCCATGAATACCCTTTCATCACAGCATTCACAAGTTCCAAGACGGTTCGCTGGTCAACCTAGGCAGAAACGACGGTTCGCGCAAACTCCCAGCCATGCCCAGTTTTTACATTCTCCACACGTGCTCGTCTAAATCTCATCCTCCTCCTCGTCAAAGTCATCCTCCCTCCCCATCTCATACAATATCCTGCCGCCCTCACCGGCGCCAATATCCGTCTGCGCATCAAAGTACGGCAGCACAATGCCCTCCCTATCCCGCCTCTGCTTCTCCGTCAGCCCCAAGCTAAAAGTGCTCTCCGGCTCCTCCGCGTCGTCGCGATCCGCCTCTGCCGGGCGAAACATGGCGTGGTCCGTCAACAGCGTGATTCTGCCCGTGCCCGACTTGCCCGCCGCCAGCAGGTGGCGCTGCAGGATGAACTTTTCCGTCACTGTCCGCCCGCTCTTGCGTCGCAGCTCCATGTCGACGACGACGCCTCTGTCCTGGTCTGGGGCCCTTGGCTTGAGGCCTATGATGACGCCTTCGCGGTCTTCCTTGAGGCCCCATTCGGGCTCCTGGACGGCGCGGTTGCGGGCTTTTTGCCTGTCGATTTCCTGGGGCAGGCTGGAGAGGCGGAGGATGGCGGTGGCGAGGTGGTTCAGGATGGTGAAGGGGTGCGGTTCGTACTCGTTGAATGATGGGGGCAGGAGGATGGGCACGTCGGTGTGGTACACGGACACTATTGATACTGCTGGTGTGAGGATGCTTGAGAGAAAGTGAGAGAGGGAGCTGGGGGCCGTGGAGGCGAGGCTGTTGAGTGAGTCGATGAGAATAATGGCCCCTGCGTTTGGTGTCAGTCCTGGACGATTTTGCCTCGACGCCCGACAATGTTGATGGGGAGTTGCCTACTTTGGGACGGCTTTTCTCTTGGCTGGGTCGGGTCAAAGACGGGATAATGCGCAGCCAGTTCCTTGGCTACGAGTCGCAAATCCCTGCCGGCGGCCTTGACCATGACGTCGACGGTCTGCGGCTTCTTGACCGTGGCGAAAGAGAGCAGTATGACTTTTGTTTTGGAAATCTGCATTCATTGTGTTGGTATTCCCTAGACGTCTATGAGGTGCACGCTGCGTACCTTTGCGCGGGTCATGAACTCGTCAAGTACGGGCTGCGCCGGCTGTTCAAGACCATCGAGGACAAGAGTGAGAGGACTCGCCGAGTCGCGGAGGTTGAGTAGCTTCTGCAGCAGTAGCAGGCTATGCGAGCGACTGTGGACAGTATTTGGGGCCGCCATGTTTGCCGACAGCAGATGCAGCGGCACACATCGACAAGGCCGTCTGAGATGGACCGTGAGAAGCAGAAGCGATCAAATGAGTCTTGGCGGTTGGATCAAGATCAAAATGCCAAAATGCCAAAATGTCTGGTGCCCCACTTGCCTCGCCCACGGCCCCCCACCACCATCAATTCCACCAAAAAGTCGAGATGGGAGCAAGCCTCACAGGATGGTGATGCGATGCGAATCCTCGCCCATGCAGTGGTTCGAATCGCCATTATCCGCCTCGTCCTGGGGCTGGCAACCCGCCAATGTAGACTCCGTTTCGTCGCCCCCTTTCTGACCATCAGCTCCCTCTCCTTGGCCATCTTCGACCCTTCTCTCCCCTGGCTTCGCCTTCGCCTTCGAATCGTCAGGAGGCTCCACGGCCCAATCCTCAACAAACTTGTCCCTTAGCCACTCGTCAAACTCACCCGCCTTCCTCCTGTTGTGTGCACTCCACGCATCCTCCAACCAAACAGCATCGTGCCTCCCCATGGCCAGATTGTCGACATACGCCGCACAGTCATAGCGGAAGGAATCGTCATTCATCAGAGTCTCGAAATTCGGCCGGGCGTCATCAGTGTCCGCGTCCAGCGTGTGCGCCATGTCCGGAAACAAGCAGAGCACGTCCCGTCTCTCCTGGATGCTCAGTGATGTCCACGCCAGTGGGTTCGCGAGCACGCTCTGCCGTGGCCAAGTGTTAGTCATTTCGGGCAAAATACTATGCACAGAGGGATGGATGGGGTGAGACATGCTCGAAGGTCCGCAGATGCCAGCGGCGACTTTGGGTCGCTGAGGATGTTGTCTGGGGTCCATTTTGATTTGCGTTTGGGCGCGGCCTTTTTCCGTCGAGCCATGGTGTGCGTGCCGAGAAGGCGTGACGAGAAGAGGAGCGGTGGTTTGGAAGAGTGATGGGCGAGGCTGAGTTTCGTTTGCATTCCATGTATTGATGTAAATTAATGCAGGGTAGGGCCGTGTTGCGGGTGAATCAGCGACAAGTCAACCTCGTCCGAACCGACTACTTCGAGGCAGACTCTGTACTTGGTAGGCACTAGCTGCATTGTATTCACTTCCACGTCTCTGAAAACCCGACCTCTGCCTGCTGCGAATACGGCACCAAGGCCGACCTTGAACACTCGCAATTCGCCTTGGTCCTCCTCGGTCTTGCTCGGTCATACTTATCGCGAGCAGCCCCCACCATGTGGACTTGACGACGGCTTGACAGCCAGCATCAACACCACCTCCAAGCATAATCGATCCGATGGCGGCGGTTCTTAAATACACCGCACCCTTTACGCCCAAAATGTCCAATCTGCGCCACTACTTGGTTTCCTCGTATACATCATTTCATCACACATCATCGCAATGTCACTCAACCTGGGATACAACAGTGCCCACCCCTTCAGCAAGGTCCGCATCCACGACCGAGCATCCGTCCAAGAGCTCCTCCAAACTGTGCTTGACCCCCTGGAGCCGTTCTTCTCACCTGCAAAAGCAAGAGTGAGGTGCCCTGGCGGAACAGCCGTTCGCTTCGACCAAACCGCCTCGGAAGTTGAAGGAATATGTCGACCGCTCTGGGGCCTGGCAGCCCTGCTCGCGGGAGGCGGCGAATACCAAGGGACAGACTGGTGGATTCAGGGCATCAAGGCCGGTACAGATCCCGACAGTCCTGAATTCTGGGGGTACCCAAGAGACAACGATCAACGAATGGTGGAAATGTGCCCTCTAGGTGAGTTTTTGTTCCGCTTCCTCACACGTAGCAAAGTCTTTACTGAGCAGTGTTAGGATTTGCCCTGGCGGTTATACCTGGCATCTGGGACAAGTTCACCGCGCGAGAGCAAGGCAATATCGAGGCGTGGCTTGGCAACTCCATCAATGAGAAAATGTGTGTTGCGCCACCCGTCTCCGACCGCATCAGCTGACGGAAGTAGCATGCCCAATACAAATTGGCTTTGGTTCCGCGTATTTGCAAACCTCGGCCTCAAGAAGTGTGGCGCGAAATTCTCCCAGGACAGACTCGCCCGGGATATCAGCCACCTGGAGACGTTTTACCGCGGCGACGGCTGGTCCAATGATGGGCCTGAAGGGATTCATCGTGAGTAAATCACCACTTCTTAAGAAAGGAGAAGAAGAATATTTCGGACCTGAAATGACACTCTATTGTGCTCCAGAGATGGATTATTACTCGTCCAGCTTCGCCATCCAGTTCCTGCAGCTCTTGTACGCACAACTAGCTGGAGACGAGGACCCGGACCGAGCAGCCGAGTTCAGACAACGAGCCCAAATGGCTGCTCTTGATCTCGTGCACTACTATGACGATCAAGGCAGGGCCATACCCTTTGGGCGGAGCGTGGGATATCGTTTCGCCATGGTCTCGTTCTGGGGCGCCCTGGCATATGCACATGTTGAACTCCCCGCGCCTTTGACGTGGGGGATGGTAAAGGGCATTGTCCTTCGCAATCTGCGCTGGTGGCAGACACAGACTGAAATGTGGACTTCAAGTGGCACTCTGTCACTGGGGTATTCATACCCCAACATGTATGTAAGTGAAGAAACCAAGGAGAGTGATTGGCGTCTGCAAAGGGTGTACAGCATGTACTTACGTAGCACAGTTGACCGAGAACTACAACAGCCCGGCGAGCCCGGTGAGTTCTAATCCATCCCGTCGGCGTCGTGCCCCGGGGTTTCGCGCCCCGTAAGCCTAACATGTACAGTACTGGGCGTGCTTGGCCTTCATTTGTCTGGCCGTGCCCGAAAGCCATCCGTTCTGGATGTCCGAGGAAGAGCTTGTTAGCCACACGATCCCTTGTGTTAAGGAGCTGCCACACCCCGGACATATCATGAGGTGAGCCAAAATGTGCCGCCAATCAAAGTTTCAATACTAGGCTTCTAACGTCTGTTTTCTTTCCTTTTTTCTCCATAGCCGCCTGGGGGGCCACTGCATGCTTTTATCATCGGGACAGGCATGCGGCTATCCCATGAAGGCTACGCACGCCAAGTATGGCGCATTGGCCTACAGTAGCGCATTTGGATTTTCGGTTCCTCCCGGGTTGTTCTCGCTGGAACAGTACGCCTTGGCATCACAGCTTGGTCTCTCCGATGATGGGGGTGAGTACTGGAAGACGAGGCGAGTCTCCGAGTACGCGGGCATTGAGTACCGCGACGGCCAGCCAGTCCTCGTGTCGCGCTGGAAACCGTTCAGCGATGTCAGAGTCACGACTACTCTAGTACCATCTACCCCAAAAACCCCAAACTGGCACCTGAGGGTGCACTGCATACAGACGGGGCGGCAATTGATGACGGCCGATGGATCGTTCGCCATTTGCAACGTCAACTCGGTCAATGGCCGCTATTTGGAGTCGTATGACCAGGAACAGTGCGAGGGCACAATGCCTAAAATCATTGGCAACTATGACACGAATTCGCCTGCCGGTTGGGCTACCGGTAAAGACGGGTCGTTTGCCGTACACGCCACCAAGGGAGCGGTTGGTATCAAGGCTTTGGAACCAATGGGTAGCCGACGGGCCATGCTGGTCAACGCAGATCCTAATTCGAATCTCGTCAATAGTCGCACAACGATACCGACTCTGCAGGGCTCTATTGAAACGGGCCAGGCGGCATGGTACGTATCTGCCATATACGCCAAGCCCGGCCAAGATGGAGTGTCCAAGATGACATATCTCGACGGCTGGCAGGCGCCACCAATTATTCCTCGGTGGTTGTCGGTCGAAATGAACAAGCACAAGGTGTAGAAAGGCCTAAGAGTTGGTGCGCATTATACTATTAATATCGAGAGACCTGAACACATGATAATTAGAGGTGTGACGAATACATGCACCTGTCACAGTCCACTCGGTGAACTTATCACGAGCCATTCGTTAGCCACAAACCTGCGCAGCGGAATATTGCATAGATAGTCTTGTGCTTCCCACCCCGATAGTCTTCACACACATGTTTAGGTCCAGAGGTGGAGATGAGCAACGCCTCCCCCACAAACTTGAAGGAAACATCTTGTCCTCTCCACGCTCCCCAGGCTCCACGGGATTCAAACCCCGGCAATGGTGGCTGTGTCCCGACGGCTATTAGCCATCCAGCCCTCCCCGCTGGTGGCATCGTGGCGGGTGGTTGGTTGGTTGCGACTCGGCCGGTTAATGGTGCAGATACAGCCAAAAGGGACAAAGTAACGCCAACCTTTTATTTGTGGATTGATATCTTCCGCCACTGAGCGTTCAACAATGGCGAAGCTTTGACATCTGTAGATGCAATGGCGCCCGTCCACGGTTGTGTTTAGGCTGCTGATACTCCGTACATCGATCGCCTCGAGTGATGGGCGGAACAGCAAGATTTGTAGAGACCAAAGATTCGATATGGTTGCTAATAAGGCGAATAGAGGAATTGTCAATTCAAAGTAATTTTTTCCCCTCCTCGCCAAAACAGTTCAAAGTAGCATGGGACGAAAGATCACCATAACGCAGCAGCGAGAATGAAAGTTGGTTTCCGTGCCCTGTCCGGTGGCATTTGGCTCTCAGCCATGACTTATCCGTCCCAGCTTAGCCCAGAAGGTTGTTCTCTGGCGAGTTGTCTTTGGTGTGGCAATTGGGCTGACGGCTTGCAAGCCCCAAAGATACAGGTACCAATCATGATTTATTCATCTGTCTTTCACTGTTGTTGGCTGGCAGATGTTGAGGTGGTGTTGCCAGTCGTCCAATGGTGTTTGTAACCTCGACCCTTTCAGTGCAGTTCGAGATTCGCACAAATCCCTTTTAACCGCGATTTGCTAATAGGAACGAGGACATGCATGCCATCAAGGTCCAATGCGACTTGTGGCGGTAAGCTGCTGAATGATCACTGGTCTCCTGGGACGAACCACACTAGAAACTAGGTGGTAAGCAAGTGGCTTGCCCAGAATGCCACAAATGCCACATCGAGAACGTCGTCCATGCTTCGCCAAATTGGACCCCAGACCACACTCTTTTGGACCGTTCCCCTCGGATGATTTTTTACTAGGGTCGCTCTGTCATCCATTCCCCCGACTCGCGTGGCGCAACCCCCATCAACCATCATCTCTTCCTCCAATCAATTCCGCCCGTTGATCTTGTGAGCCTCTGCAACATACTTATATCAAGCATCTGGCTGTCCTTTTTGCTGGCGTGCTCTTTTCCAGCCTCACCACCACTCATTACATAGTCAAAGTACGCCGCGCGAACCGAGCCCATCCTGCGATTTGCAAGTTCCGAAGCCGTGCTTCCTGACGGGAGCATCGTTAGCATTCAGGTGTTGACGTCTGCTGTTGGCTGCTCCCCCATTGCCATTCAACCAACACCTCAGCAGCATCATAGGGGTTGTTCCTGCGGCAGTAGTAGTCCCGTCAAACATGGGTTTCGAAAAGATCCTACGCGGGATCGTGCGCAATGATGCGATGCGCACTGATCCCGACCAAATTTACAATGCCAAAGTCTTAGCTCTGGTCTGCTCTGCCTGCTTTGGCGGCATGCTCTTTGGTTGGGATACCGGCGCCATCGGCGGCGTTCTGGCCATGGACGAGACACGCGAAAGGTTTGGATACCTGCATAGATCGAAAACCGACAAGTCCAACTTGGACCAAAATATCGTTTCAACGCTGCAGGCTGGTTGCTTTGCAGCTTGTCTTGTGACGTCCTGGTTCGCCGATAGATTTGGTCGTCGCTGGAGTCTCATTGGAGCTGGTGTCATCACCGTCATTGGAGTCGTCTTCCAGGCTGCATCTGCCATAGATGGCACCTTGGCCGTTATGTACGTCGGAAGATTCATCGCAGGGCTCGGTGTTGGTGCTGCGT